GGAGCAGGGGGACCGGGCGGGCGGGGCAGGGGTCAGAGGAAGGTGGGGACAGGGCGGGGCAGGGGTGGAGCAGGGGGACAGGGTGGCGAGGGACAGGGGCCGGCGGAGTATGGTGGGGGTGGGGCGGGCTAGCTGCTCACAGGATGGAATGGTTCCAGAAGACGCAGATGGGCTTGGTGCGTTCCTCGGTCTCCAGCAGCCGGAACTGCACGGTGACGGGCTTGTCCAGGGCTCGGGGCAGCAGCTCCTCGTCGTCATGTACGCTGATGCTCACCACGGGTGTGTTGATGATGGGCCGCTTGGGGACTCTGATGGAGGAGGCGGCGCGACAGCCACGTGGTCAGACCCCACCTTCCTCAGGGTGCCCGCACCGCCCGCCTCCCTGCCGCCACCTCAGGCTGCGCTTGTCTGGGTCGTAGTTGTGCGGCAGCAGCCCGGCCAGGGTGCGGTAGATGATGACGCTGGCCACCGCCTCGCCCTGGCTCAGCTCTGGGTGCCGCCGCTGCCGCCGCGCCAGCTCCTCGGGCTCCAGGGCCTCGCCGGGGCCCGCCGGCCGGACCATGGGGGCTGTTTCTGGGGGCAGGAGGCAAGCTGTTAAACCCGGGCTGGGCCGGCCCTCAGGGGTCCCTGCCCGCCCTGCGCCCACCGCTGACCTCTGAAGACGGACTCGGGCAGGATGACGGTGGTCTCCAGGTCCGGGGGCCGCTCCCCACGCAGCGCCTCGTAGCGGGGCAGCTTGGCCCCAGCGAAGTTCCCCTTGTCCAAGCGCACGACAGAGATGACTGGGGAGGAGGGTGGTCCCCGGTCAGGCCACAGAGGCGGGCAGAGCCCCACCACCCCGCCTCCGCGTGGCCACAGCTCACCGATGTTGGGCGTGACGATGGTGAAGGGGCTGAGGTAGGTGTGCCGCATGTTCTGCGCCAGCGCGCTGGCGTAGGCCTCATAGCGCTGCAGCAGCCAGGCTGTGCCGCCCTCCGACTGCTGGATCAGCTCCCAGTGCCGCTTGTTGGCTGCATCCAGGAGGGCGCTGCCCACCCGCAGCAGGTTCTGGGGCCGGTGTGGTCACTGTCATCGCGTACCCTCCCGCCCCTCCACCCCTCCACGGAGCCCCAGCCTGTGCCGGTCACCGCAGCGCCCTACCTGCTGCACACCAGCGCCCATGGGGCGCCACCCCCCCCACCCCACCCCCGTGGGTGTGCATGGGCCCGTTAGCCTTCCTCCCAGACACACTCTGCACATAGCATCCCCAGGCCTGTGCCCCACAGACCAACTCTTCCAGTCCCTAGGCCGGGCCAGGCTGCAGTACAAAAGTACCATTTCCTGTGTACAGCTCGGTGTGAAGAAGGTTGGAAAGAGGGGACCTCAATCACCCAGGTGCTGGGCCAAGCCTTGGTGCCCTCGACCTGGTTGGGAGTGCTCCCCACTCTGCACCCCAGGTCCTGGGCCACTCCACTCCCTGTGACCCCTTGCCCAGGCCCACCTCGGTGAAATGCACGTCCTGCGTGGCAGACAACCCGAAGCCCCGCTGGGCACTCTCGTGGGCCAGCAGCCGGGCGGCCAGCTGGTAAGCCACCCTGACATCGCTGCCGAAGTAGCCGGCTGTGTGCTGCGTGGCGTTGCGCAGGAGAAGGGCCAACCGCTGGGAGCGCCCTGAGTCCAGGCCTGACTCGTTCCGCTGCAGCCGCTCAGCCTAGGGCACCCAGGCCAAGGGGAGGGCAGAACTGGGCCTTAGGAGGGGAGGGAGGTGGCCTTTTGAGGCAGGGGCCCCAGGAGGACAAGGACGGGGGCTCCACAATCCCTCTTCTCAAAGTTGAAGGGGGAACAAAGTGAGATTGGAAAGATGGAGATGAGGGGGTTCACTTACAAAGCCCTTGAGCTCTGAGAAGGTGACTGAGGTGCAGTTGAAGAGGTTTGGGGGGAGCCACCCCCTGTGCTCGTCACAGTGGCGCACAGCGGTTCCTGGGGGTGGAAGCCGGCAGGGCTGGCCTCAGGCACAGACCCAGGAGGACCCTGAGCCTGAGAAGAAGCTGGGCTAACACCTCAGGGACAGCCACACACACACCAGGACCCTGCCCTGCCACTGCCCAGGTAAGACCAGGTGTGTCAAACTAGAGAGCCAAAGCTCCACAAGGTAACGGCTGGGGAGCACAGCGTACCGAGCCTTCTGGCGGCTCTGACACCCCTGCCTGCTCCTGCTGCCCCTCATGCTCTTCTATACCCCGATCACTACCTCAGACTTCTGCCCATTGCCCATCACTGCCCCCCAGATTGAGACCCCTGCTCCTCAGCAGCCTGTCTTTCTGGGAGTGTAACTCCGGTACGAAAGGGTGGGGGGTGTTGATGGAAAGCCTATACAATTGATCCTTGATCCTTGAATCCCTGGTCCCCAGGCCAGGGCTGGCCCAATGCGGGCTCCTGGCCCTTAGTCAGGGACAGGAGGTAAAGAGGTAGGTACCACACAGCAATTGGAGCTGGGGTCAATGAGAGGTGGGGACAGTGAGCCAAAGATGGGTGGAAGACAGGGCTTAGGACCTAGAGGCCAGAAATCAGGATCCAGGCTCTGCATTCAGGGCTGCCTGCCCCTGCCCACTGTTGCTGGTGGCCCCTTGGCCCTCAGTGGGTCTTCCCTATGGTGCCACCACAGGCCTTGAGCACCTACCAAAGGAGCCCCTGGGGCAGGGGGCTGCAGCGGGCAGGCCGAAGCGGGTCCGGGGCCACCAGATCCCAGCCTCAATGGCCCGAGGGCAGCTGTCATAATTCACTGTAAGGGAGAAGACAGGGTCACCCAGGAGCAGCACCCCCTCTGCAGCTCCGCCCCAGCCCTCCCGGCATGCCCAGGCCTGCACCCAGCCCTGCTCCCTGCCTCCCAGGGGCACAGCAGGGAGGGCCGCCTACCTGTCCTGGGATCCCTACCTTCACAGCCATTGGTGGTGACTTCAGCGAAAGGGTTGTCACAGCGGTCACACTGGCGCCCGATGACGCCTGGCTTGCAAGGGCACTGGCCGTCCTCAGGGTCACAGACACGGGACAGGGAGCCCGTGGGGTAGCAGTCACACAGGAGGCAGGTCGGGCTGTCGGGGGGCCGGTAGTGGTTCTCCTGAGAGGGAGGAGGCAGCCAGGCATCACTCAGGTGTAAGCTGTCTCTCCTGGCTGCTTTGGGGGCCTTTAAGCTGTACCCCGCTGCCAAGAGGCTCCCCAACCTCAGCACCCTGCGGGAGTGGTAGTCAGAGTGTAGCAACAGGCAAACCCTCTCACTGACTGCCAGCTAGTCATCGCTGACCAGCAGTGACCCTGGAGGGCAGGGTAGAACTGGCCCCGAGGGTTCCCGAGACGGGCCTATCTTCCTCTGGTGGAGCAGCTGGTGGGTTTCAACTGCTGACCCTGAAGTTAGCAGCCCACATGTACCCACTATACCACCACTGACATGCAAATGAGCCAGAAACCCGGTGATCACTGATTAAATGTTGTCCTGTGCTCCCCGCCCCTCCCAGAGACATGAAGACCAACAACTTTGTCCCCACCCCAGGAGAGCACAGGCAGGCCCTCCCCTGCGCTCCCGGGGAGAGCAGGGCCTGGCTGTCACCTTGCAGTGGCACTCGCCGCTGGTTTTATTGCAGTCCAGGTCGAAGCCTTTGCTGATGTCACAGTTGCACGGGCCGCACATGGGGTGTCCCCACCAGCCACGGGGGCAAGGCTGGTCAATCCTGCAGACAGGAGCCCGGCAGGAGTGAGCTTGCTCTGCCACACCCACCAGAGCCAGGCAGTGGCCCCTCGGGCCAGCTGCCTGCTGCCCTGGCCCACTCACCTGGTCTCACAGTAGTGCCCCAGGTAGTTTGGGGGACACTCGCAGGCATAGCCGTGGGGGGCACTGGGCTTGCGAGCACACACAGATTGGTGCTCGCAGGGGTTCAGGTCACACACGCTAGTGCAGTTGTCACCGTAGTAACCTGGAGAAGGACAAATCCAAACCAAACGCGCTGGACTCACAGCCACCCTACGCAGGAGGTCTGAGGCTGCACATCTTGTGGGGAGTAGGCAGTCTCCGCTTTCTCCCACACAGCGGCTGCTGGGTTCAAATGGCTGGCTTTGCAGTTATCAGCCAGCGCCTAACCCACCACATCACGGAGAAGTTCAACGCCCCCTTCCCGCACGCTTTCTCTCTCCCTCCACTCCACCCACAGGAGCATCTGGCAGTGGCTTTGTGCTGTGGGAAGCTCTGAGAGGTGACATGACTGACCTACAGGTCGCTTGGCTGAGCCACAGCACAAGACCCCAGGACCTGCCCCTCCCCGGGGGTCCCCGTCCTACCGGGATCGCAGCTACAGGAGTAGCTGTCCCAGTCATCGCTGCAGTAGCTGTTGGCAGGGCATGGGTTTGAGTCACAGGGGTCTGGCAGGCTGCAGCCGGCCTCCACATTCACTCTCTCCCCTCGGCTCGGATCCAGCGCGCTGGCACCCTCGGGTGTCTCGCTCACGCGCACACCCTGGTGGGAGGTGTGTCAGGGACAGTGGCAGTGTTGGCCCTCAGTGGTACAGCCTCCAGATGGTGGGGGGAGGGGTGGGGGAGGGGTCAGGAAGTCTGCTCACCTGCAAACAGCCCCGGAAGCCCCGGGTCACACCATTGACCGGCCCAGGCACTCCACCCACCGTGATGTTGCTCAGGTGTAGCCCGTGCAGCCGGGGCCCCAGGTTGCCCTCTGACCGCTGCTGCCCGTAGTCAAAGGACAGGACAGCATGGCCGGGCCCCCCATTGGCTCCCAGGGCCAGCTGTGCATGGTGCCAGTCCCCGTCATTGGCGCGGCCCGGGTCCAGCTGGAGAGACGAGGCCTGAAGCCCAGTGCCCTCCACGCTCAGCACCACGTGGCCCTCCCGAAGCTGGACCAGAAGGAAAGAAGGGCCACCTTAGTTTGCTCTACACTCAGCCCGCTGTCCCCTTTGCTGGACCACGCTGCAGTCCAGATGAGGCCCGAGAGGAAAGTGTTATCTCCTCTGGGGCCAACAGATGGCAGCATTTAACCACCAAACCGACCCAGCGGCCTCCCCCGGGTCCCCGCCCAACTCTTCAGTCCAGCTTCCTGGAGGCCACGCCCCCAAGCCAGCAGCCCATTCCCCCCGCCCCCATGGTCGGCGCACCTGCAGGGTGATGGTGCTGCGCCCTCTGGTGACGGCCTGAAACAGGACACCGTTGGCCTGGCGCGTGCGGAACATGAGGCTGAGGTGCCAGGGTTGGGAGATGGGCAGTGAGAGGCCATGCCAGGCCACCATGCTGCTGCCCAGGAAGCGCTGCGGATTGGCCATTTCTGGGGGGGTGCGAGGGGGAGCGGGGTTGGGCGGGACAGATCCAGAATGGCTCTGAAGGATGTCGCAGCTGATGCCCAGGAGGTATGATGCCGTGATGCCAGTGCCATGGAAGGCGGGCACCGCCTCTGAGTGCCCCGCCCTCGAGCCCATTTACCTACCCTGGGCCCACCCCACACTGTGCCCAGGCCTGCCTCTCACTGGGCCCTTTGTCTCCCGTGCTGCCCTCTTAGGGCTCTGCCCAGACCTGCTTTTCCACCCACAGCTAGTGGCTAGGCCTTGCCCGATGCTGTCCAGACCCTGCCTGTGCTCCTACTGTGGTTGACAGCTACCAAAGCCCGGCCCCTGAGGGCAGCCCCCACCTACCTTGGGCACAGCTCTTGCCCCCGAAGCCCAGGGGGCACTCACAGCTGAACGCATCCCACTGGTTCACACAGGTGCCCCCGTTGTGGCAGGTGTTGCTGTCACACACATTCTTTTTGGCTGGGCAGCCTGAAACAGAGAGAGGGGGCTCAGGAAACCCCGGGGCAGTGACCAGAGGGGCCTTTGAGACCCCTGCCTGCCAGGCATGGCCTCTCCTCCCTGCAGTGGGGCCTGGCCTTGCCCCCATTCCCCACCCCCCAACCCCGTACCAGGCACGGTGCCATTGTTGGCGATGAAGTCAGCCATGTCCACATGCCGGCTGTCCACCTGCAGGTTCCGAATGCAGCCCACAAAATGCCGCATCCGCACAGGGAAGCTCTCAGGCAGGTCGGGCACCCCACCCAGCAGCAGGGGCCCTGTCAGATCCAGAGACCTCGGGAGCAAAAAAAAACGGCGACAGCATGAGGGAGGGGCACACTGCTCCTGGCTCATCCTGCTCCTGGTGCCAGCTGCCAGCAAGGGGTTGCAGGGCAGTACCAGGGAAGGGGGACCTCCCCAGCCTGGAGCTGTTCTCAACACGGAACTTGCCCCTTCCCCAGGCTGCGCTGCCAGGCCTTGCTCAGATGCCTCAATCTCACCTCCCCAGAGGCCTGAGGGGAAGCTGAGGATCACAGAGAGGGGAGACCCATCTGGGTTGGCCCACACTTCTGAGCTCCCTAAAGCCTCCTCTCTACACCGGGGGTGGGGAAACATCTGGCCCACGTGCTATGTAAGGCCCACAAAATCATCATGACCAGCTAACATCACAGCAGTGCCAACCACCACATTCTAAAGCCAAACCCAAAGTCAATGCCATCCAGTCACTTCTGACTCATAGCGATGCTGTCAGATAGAGCACAATGACCCCTGTGGGGTTCCGAGACTGTAACTCTTTATGGGAATAGCATGCCTCGTCTTCTTCCTGCAGAGCAGCTGGTGGTTTTAAACTGCTGACCAAGAGGTTAGCAGCCCAGCCCTACACCACCAGGGCTCCTCTATCACATGCCAAAAAACTCACTGCCATTGAGTACATCCTGACTCACCTCGACAGTATAGGACAGGGTAGAACTGCCCCTGTGGGTTTCCAAGACTGTAAGTCTATGGGAGTAGAAAGCCTCATCCTTTCCCTCTGAGGCTGGTAGTTTCAAACTGCTGACCATGCAGCCCAATATGGAACCACTACGCCACCAGGGCTCCTCCATCGCATGAGGGGTGAGCTGATGAACTGTTTGACCAATTCAGCCTGGGTATGGTGTCCTAAATACCCAAGGCCCTTGGCAGAACGGTTCCCCACCTGTGCTCTACACCTTCCGTCCCTGGCTGGCTCTGCCCCCACCCCATCCCAGGTCCTCTTGCTCACTTCTTGCTGCCACCTTGGGTGCCCTGGGCAGCACAGGAATAGTTGCCCAGCACAGCTCCGAAGCGCAGGGCCACCCCTGTGTCACAGTCATCCACGGTCACAACAGCCACCTTCTGCTCGGATGGGCCCTGCGGGAGCCCTGTCTGGCCCAACAGCGGCTGTGGACAGGAAAGAGGGGAAGGAAGAGAAAGGGTGGGCAGGGGCCCGCCAGGTGCATGGGCCAGGCAGCCAGACACGAGTCATGTATGCTGACTCACACGGGGCATGTATGCAGACAGCCCACATGCACACCCCGGGACTTCCGCTCAAGCGACCTCTCAACATCCACCCCGGCCTGTCCCCGCCTAATGAGCGGGGCGAGCCGGGCGCTGCTCAGGGGGTGGGATGCCCCAAGAAGACGGCAAGTGTTCGCGCCTCACTCTAGCGGAAGTGCCATGCCCAGTGCCCAGCGCCCAGCGCTGCCTGAGGCAATGGCTCCCAGGTCTGCGTGGAGGGGAGCACCTGAGTCCGAAGACATGAACCCCTTGTCATCAAGTCACTTCTAACTCAGGGCCACTCCATGGGACCGACCGAGTAGATCTGCCCCGAGGGGCCCAAAGCTGTTTCTCCAGGGAGGCCGCCTGCCCCATCTCTCCTGCAGGGCGGCTGGGGGTCAAGTTGGCAGCCAAGTGAGCCTCCTGGGCTCCCTGAGTCAAGACTGCAGCCCTCCCGTCCTCTGGCCCCTCTCACACCCACCTTGTTGTAGTACTTCAGCTGCACCGTGTGCCACTGGCCGTCACTGACCCCCCCTGGCACGAATGGGGACACGGTGGTGGTTGATTCCCCTGGGGAAAAGATGGGTGAGCTGGGACCCCGGCTGGGCTGGGCTGGCTCGGGGGAGGGGTCGGAAGGTCCTGCAGTGGGGGCTCACCTGCAGAGAAGGTGAGCTGGACCTGCTCCTGGATGACCTCGAGGGCTACAAAGTCGTGCTTCTCATTGAAGCGCCCGTTGTACAGCAGCAGCCCGTCCCGCTCCTTCGTGGCAAACCTGATGGGGGCCGGGCAGAGGGCAGGGATTGGGGCACCCATAGGGACCCTGGCACCCAGCACCTGCACCAACCCAGGGCTCTTCAGAGGGCTAGCACCTCCACACCTCCACCTCGAGGTGCCAAGGTGATGGGTCCTGGTGGGAAATGGACCCAAACCCAGACCCTGGCCTCCCTACTCTCCACCCTCGAAGGCGGAGAGGTCAGGGAGTGGGAAGCAGAGCCTCGGGAGGTGGGGACATCGGCTGCACTCAGCACCTCAGGGCTCTGCCAACAATCTGTCCAGAGGCCTCCCCGGATCTTCCCCCTGGGCTCCCACCTGCACCCCTGCCCCTCAGAGCTCAGCCACTCACGAGAGGGCCACGGTGAAGTGGAAGCGCTGGCGCAGGCCCCGGAAGGTGATGAAGGAGCGAGCTGGGAAGCTGCGTGTGGTGACCTGGCAGTAGGGCTTCTCAAAGTCTCCAGATGGGCAGTCGCACTTGAAGCCCCCCACAAGCAGGTTGACACAGGTGCCCCCATTTTTGCAGACACGTGGGGTGCAGCGGCCTGAGCGGGCGCTCACCTCACAGTGCTCACCTGGACAAGAGGAGGGGCCAGTGAGTACTAGGCACCCAGGGAGGGGTGCCAGCGATGCCCACGCGACAGCCCTGAGATCCCCTCTCTGAAATCCGTGTGACCCTAGCTCTGGTGCTGTCGGGCCAGCTCACTGTTCCTGTCACCACAGGCCTACACACCGATCCCCGGGCCACGCCTGGGACCTCAGATCTACAAGCTGGGGGCTGTTCAGCCCCTGCAGGGGTGACTGTGCTGCAGACAGCCCCCTCCCTCCCTGCTCCCTTTCCCCTCCCCTTCCTCCCATTGGCGCCTTTGTCCCTGTCATGTCAGATACCAGATCAGTGTCCATCCCCAGGGATGGGAGCAGACTTCTACTTTGATTTGGCTGAGTTATGGGGAGGTAGGGGACAGAAGATGAGGGCCGCCCCCAAGCATAAGGAGCTTCCACCAAGACATCTGAGCCCTGGAGTCCAGATGAAGGGCCTCTGTGTACTTGGAAGATGCTCAGAGAGAGACTGAGTCCCCGAAGCAGTTGCTGCAGGAGCTGAAAATGCCACCACCAGATGGGAAAATCTACCGCCTTCTCGCTCTCACGATTCCCAGATTCTAGAGATAGGTTCTCAGCTCCTCTGTGCCTAGTGACTGGCTCTTGTTTCCATGGAAACTGTTGTTCGCCTACTCTAAGCCCCCCCCCCCACTCCCCTCCCCATCCTTCTGGACAAAGACTCCCCCACCCAGCCCCTCCCCCCGCTTGCCCCTGCTTGCCCCTCCCCCCCAGCAGAGAGGAGGCAAGTCAGGCAAGTTCTGGGCAGCAGAGAAAGCAGTGGGGTCTGCCTACTCCGCCCTAAGATTGTTCGCAGGGCCTGTGGGGCCTCCGGATCCATCACAGGAAATGAGAAGGGGGTGTCTTAAGGAAAAGCGGGGGCCTGAAGGGTGGTGCTCAGCAGCAGAGCAGAATTGGCGGGGTTCTAGAGAGAGGCTGGGGATAGGGACCCCCAGTCACACACCACCAACAGGGAGGTCTCCTGGCCAGGACCCTCTTTGCCTGCACCTGGGCAGGGATGGGGCTATTCTGCCCAGGGCGATACAGGTGCAGGGACCTTCTGGAACATCCAGTCTATCCTTTCACCCCAAGCTCTCTGATGGCCTTCGTTCCTCTCCCCTGGCCACAGCTCCCAAGGGGGAAGGCCGAGTTGCGGCTCAGCCGCACTCAGCAGGGTGTGAGCTGCGGCCTGGACAAAGCGCCACCCTCAGCGGCCCCTGGAATCAGGGCTAACACGCTGCTACACTCATTAGTTCGTGCCCACAGCCAAACTGCAGCATGATCCCTTTTTCCAACAACGAGGCACAGAGAGGCTATGCTAACAGGTACAACGTCACACAGCCGCAAAGCAGCCAAGCTGAGCTATCTATCAATCCAAGCCGATTGGCTCCCAGGCAGCCTCTGACCTAGCCCTGCTTTCCTCATGAAAACAGGTCGCCCTGGAGTCAGTGGGACACAGGGCGACCCCATGTACATCAGTCAGAGCAGCACGGTGCCCCCAAGGTGTTTTGATGGCTGAGTATTTCCTCCAAGATGCCTCTTGGGGAGGACAAGAATCTAGCTTTTTGGGTTGCCGGCGTATTCACAAGTTTGCGCCATCCAAGGACGCCTGGGTCACCAGGTAATTGAGCGAGCAGGATGTGTGGAGGGACATCGCAGGCGCTACGTTGATAGATCACTCAATCTGTGTCTGCGCCACTGCGAAAGCCCACCGCGAGCGCCCCGGCTCCCCCCCTTACTCACCTGTGTAGCCGTCGCGGCAGAGGCAGGTGTAGCCGCCCTCGTGGCTGCGGCAGCGCCCGTGGGCCCCGCAGGGCCGGGAGTAGCAGAGGTCCACCTCGGTCTCGCAGTAGTCGCCCGTGAAGCCGGGCGGGCAGCGGCAGCGCAGCCCCCCGACGGGGTGGATGGGCCGGAAGAGCACGGAGGAGGAGGCGATGAAGGGCGCCGAGGAGTCGAAGCGCAGCACCGACACGCAGCGCATGTAGTTCTCGCAGGGCTCGCGCAGGCAGATGTTGTCGTCGAAGGGCAGCACGCGCTGCGCAGAGATGGCCGTCAGCAGGCTGCGGTTGAGGTACAGGCGCTCCTGCAGGTCCTCGGAGGGCAGGAAGGGCGGCCCGCCACCGGGCCCCGGCGGCTGGCCCACCGACAGGCTCACGTTGAGGATGTGGCCGCCGGGGGCGTCGGTGTCGCGCTGCACGTTGAAGATCACCACGTGGTCTGGGGGCGTGGCCAGCGTGGCGGCCACCGCCTGGATGAACAGCCCCAGCAGCGGCGACAGGAAGCGCTCCGGGGACATGTCCTCCAGGCGCAGCGTGATGCTGTGCGTGAGCATCTCGTCCGTGATGATGGTGACGCGCAGTGCGCACTGGGCTGTCACGCTGTGCACGCCGTCTGCGGGGAGACCAGGCGCTGCATTAGGGCCGGGGTGGGGCTGGGTACACACCCCTGAAGGGGCGGCCCAGAAGGGGTCCCTTGGAAGGTGCTAGAGAGGCTCAGCTCTTCAGAAGTTCTGTTGACACGCCTTTGCACAACAGCTGTGGTGCACGGCCCACCCATGAATGTGTGTGCACCTTTTTCCTTCCCAAGCCCTTTTCCTGTACTGGCGCTGTGTGTGTGTGTGTTTCACTGAGTCCAGAGCACTCTACGTGGTAACCCTCCTTCACCCTGACCCTACCTGTGCACCCCCAAGCCCAGGGAGTGTGCATGGGGGAGCCAACTGGGCCACTGGGAGGAGCCACCCTGTCCCCCTCCCACTGAGCCCTGTGGCTACTTGAGCACAGGCCACTCTCTTCATGGCCATACCCCCACAAAGCATTCTTCCTGCCCAGCCGTCTGGCTGCTGGGGGTGGGCAGCTGTCCACCCCAGGAAATCCGGCTGAGCCACCTCTGCCCGTGGTCACACCACCCTCTCCCTTCAGGTCGGACACAGGGACAGTAAGGGAGGGGGTGGCTAGGGGGAGGGACCAGACTAGGGGCCAGGATCAAAGGGCTGCAGCTGGGGCAGCTCTCACACCACAGTCCCCAGAGCCCCACGCGGTCCTCCTCACCCACCTGGCTCACTGCACTGCACCCAGATGCCGGCCACGCCCCCAGGGCCACACACTCAACGATCAGCAGCTAAGTATTGACCCACACACTACATGTTGTCTCGCTCCGCCCACACGCCCATCGTCAACACCCAGGCTCAGAAATACCACACACACCTGAATGCACGAACACACCAGGGCAGCCGGATTTTCTTTGGCACAAAAGTGAAAGCCGGGAGCCAAAGGGAGGGGGCAGGTGGCTCGGAGTGCTACAAGGGGTGTATCTTCTACATAGGTGTTCAGAGGGCACGGTGCTCTTAGTGTGAATATATCCTGTCGCCACAGTGAAGAACCAGTCTTAAAACCCAGAAGGAGGGGCCCAGATCAGATCTAAAAAGGGACTTTCTAGCCGGGCTCCGGTTCTCTGGGAGTTAAGTTCTTGGCTACTAACTGAGAGGTTGGTGGTTCGAGCCCAGCCTGAGATAGTTTGTAAGAAACTGCCATGGCGGTCTCCTTCCAAAACGTCCCAGACATGAATAATACAACCATGAATATCCCGCCCTGGATACGTCTACTGGGTGGCAAATGGGTCACCGAGAGCCGGGATCAACGCCGCGACAATGGATTGGTTGATTTGTGTGTTTGGTTTTCAGCAGGGATGGGCAGGAGTCAGCCTTTCTGGGATGGGGCAGCTGTAGGAGAAGAAGGAATCTGGAAACAGATTCTGCGTCTGTGCTGTACCCACTTGATGTGGCTGCCTGTCTGGGGCGGCTCTGTTGAGCCCAGGAAGGCTGAAGACCGACACCAATCTGTACCACGCTCTCAGCCTGTAGTCTGCCTGCCCTCCAATCTCCTGGTCTGAGACTGCATGGTCTACTTGCCACTGCATAGGCAGTGCCTTCCTCCCCGATCCACCCAGACACCAGCCCACAGCCCTCCTAACCTTTTAGCCTGCCCTGGACTCACTTCTTCCGGAAAGCCTGCCCAGATTTACAGCCCCAGGCCCTGTGCACCCTCTTTCAGAACCCCTTGCAGGTGGCGTGGTGTTTTTTACATGCTGAGCTGCTAACGGCAAGGTCCGCAGTTCGAAACGACCAGGAGCAAGACAGGGCTTTCTGCTCCTATCAAGAGTTACGGTTTCAGAAACTCACAGGGGCAGTTCTATCCTGCCTCACTGGGTCACTATGAGTTGGCATCAGCTCAATGGCAGTAAGTCTGGTTTATTTTTGCAGGTGCTTAGACCTGGCACGGGGCTCTAGGGTACCTGCTGCATCTGCCCCGAGGTTCCTTGAGGGGCAGAGAGCCGTGCAAGTGCTGTAACCTGCTTGGAGGTGAAGAGGGGCGGTGGCAAGGCCAATGAACATGAGCACCATCCCCGCCTCTCAGTTCTGGGAACCAGTCCCCCTCCCTCTATCCCCCCTTTCCCCGCCAGGCCCCCTAAGCTCCTCTCCCAGCAAGTCTCTGTTGCTTCCCAGCTGGTCCACCATCTGTAGCCACCTGCTCCCCCAGCTATTGTCCCCCATCCCCAACAGTCAACCTACTGGTCTCTCCTGCCTCTTTGCCCTCTCCCTGGCTTGGGCCTGGGTCACCCCAGGTGTGGGGCAATGGTAGGAACAGGGGTGGTAGGTACATTTCCTGGTCAGAAAAGAAAGGGTTAGGATAGGTTTGGGTTTCAGGAAACACCACTGTCCTAAAGCCCAGACAGCCAGACCTGAAAGATTGCCAGGACCCACCGTGGGGCAGAATTCGACCCCAAGCCTCTCCTGCCTGGCAGATGTGCCCGTGGAGGCTGCAGGCTGGGGAGGGACCTGCTGCTGTAAGAATGGCTGAGTGTCCTGGGTCCTAACAGAGACAGGGAGAGGGCCGGCCCTAGCTGAGCCATCTGGCCAGGCTGGGCCAGCTGCAGCCACATGGAGCACAGGAGGAGGAGTTGGACAGAGGGTCTAACACCGAGACCAAACGGGGCAGACAAAGACTCAGAACAAGAGCCAGGCTGGGTAATGGGAGAGAGCGGGAAAGGAGAGGCACTCGGGACATGGGGAGAGAAGGCAGCCTTGGGGGCCTGCATGGGCAGGGAGACAAAGAATTGGAGAAGGGAAACAAAGGGCGGTGGGAGTCAGTTCCCACTCAGCCAGCCTCCCTGAACTTTGAGGTTGCCGTGGTGACTGCCTCCAGGGGTCAGGGCCTTACGGGGAGCGGGGGGGGGGCAGGGAGGCTAGAGCCAAAGGGCTGGCCAAAGCCATCGCAGCTGTCTCTGTCCCGACCCTCCACTCTAGGAGAGCCCAGTCTGGCAGAAGAAGCTCATTTGCCCTGCTCTGAGAGCCCCGCCACATCAGGGCAGGCTCCCCTTTTGTCAGAAAGAGGGAGGGAGAGTCCCTCCCTTTGCACCTCCGCCTGTCCCAGGGCACCCACACAGACAGATCTGAAACACAGGTGCTCTAGCAGCAAGAGCGGCAGAGCCTTGTCCGTGGCCTCCCAGAGCCCACACTTCCTGTATCCGTGTCCCATGGCCAGAGCGGATGGCCAGGAGTGGACTGGTGCCCTGAAGCCCAGCCCGGAGCCTTGTCCCACTCTCGAATGCCCCTCACTCCTCCGGCGGTGGGACCTGCTGAGTTCTAGCCCTCCTTTGCTGGATTTGTCTGAAGGCTGCGCCAACCGCTGGATGGAGCATGGTAACCCGGATCCATCCTCAGAGGGAACAGCTGACCGGGGGCCCCTCAGGTGTGCTGTGGCTCCTTGGTTGTCCCCAGGCCTCCGCTCTCTGGGTTTGGTCTCTTCCTCACCAGTGGAAGAGACAGCACCCGTCCCCACCCCACCCCCACCTTACCTCCCAGCCCTGCTGCCCAGGGAGTCTGCAGGCTAAGCGCTTGGCCAAGCAGCAGGAATGCCCCAGCCTGGGTCCTGGCCAGGCTCCCAGGGCCCTGGGACTTTGCCCTCTCCCCTCCCGGTCAGGTGCCCCAGAGGCATCTGCCCCAGACCCCAGGGATCCTCAGACTCCTCCTGGTACCCACACCCCATTCCCTGAGCCTGAGCCTGAGCCAGTAACAGGCAGGCGGAAGAGGCCTAGGCCTGAGAACAGCCCGGGGACGGCAAGGCGGCCCAGGAGGCCTCAGCCTGCCCCTGGCTTCATCGCGGCCCCTCCCTCAGCCCGGACTCTGAACCAACCGGGCCTCTGACAGTGGGGTCTGTTTGGACAGAGACAATGAGCTCTGGCCTCACTTCCTGCAGGCCCGGCTCTTTTCTGCCCGGAGGGAAAAGAATGTGTGAGACAAAGTCTTCGTCAGTCGGTCTGCGGCCCAGCAGAGGCTCGACTGCAGGGTCCTGACCCCACAGGGCCTGCACGGTGCCCCCCATGACCCTCCGCTCCACCAAAAGGCTAGATGAGATCACAGGAATATCCTGACAGGGCACAGAGGCACCGCTCCCCCTACCCCTGCCCCACTGCCTCTCCTCCACCAAAGGCCTCTCCACCCCTCCCCCAGCGCTCCTGCCCCTGTCTTCCACCCGCCTTTTTTCACAATTCTTGGCAGCCATAGCCAGGGCCGCCGCAGAACGCTTCCCCCAGCACGTCACAGGCTGGTAGGCAGAGGGCAGCCAACCGAAGCAGCCCAGCCCTCCTGAGGCTGGGGCGGCAGGCGGGGCCTGCCCCAGCTGCCAGCATTCCTGGGGCTTATCCCAAGCTGGCTCTTGCCCCCTCCACCTCTGTGCCAGGCACCTGGCCGAGAGGTGGGTCAGCAGTACCTCTCACAACTGCCCAGCTCCTCCCACCAGCCCCTGCCTCACCTGACACCAGCACGCTCATGATGGCCTCCAGGGGCCGGTTGTTATCCAGGGCCCGGCTCAGCCGCAGCTCGCCCGTGGAGGCGTTGAGCAGGACCAGGCTGAGTTCATTGCCCCGCTCGAAGCTGTAGGTCAGGCTGTCGGAGATGTCCGGGTCGTGGGCAGGCACGCGGCCGATGGCGCCGCCAGGGAAGCTGCTGGAGCGGTTGGTGACGTAGTTGTTGAAAAGGATCTCAAAGTTGCCCAGCACAGGGGGGTTGTCATTTCGGTCGAGCAGGCGGACGTGGACTGTAGCCCGGCTCACCAGGGGGGCGGATGTGGCCTGGATGACCAGAACGTACTCGGGCCGGTCCTCGTAGTCCAGGTCCACCAGGGCGGTCAGCTCCCCAGAGAAGATGTCCAGCTGGAAGACCTCGGGGATGTTGCCCTCCACGATCTGGTACATGATCTGGGCGTTGGTGCCTTCATCGGGGTCAGTGGCTGTGACCCGGGCCACGGCCAGGCCGATGGGGCTGTTCTCCTCCACAAACACGTCGAACTCGTCCTGCTCAAAGACCGGGGGGTTGTCGTTCACGTCCAGCACGGTGACCGTCACCTCCATGGGTGTGCGGGCCGGGGGCATCCCCTTGTCCACTGCGTACGCCCGCAGGATGTACTGGGCCACGTTTTCCCGGTCCAGCCTCCGCAGCGTCCGCACAATGCCCGACGTGGACTCCACGATAAAGTCTCCGTCCCCGTCGTCGCCTCCCTGGAAGGTGTAGAAGACCCGGCCGTTGAGGCCGGAGTCTCGGTCAGTGGCCGAGATCTGCAGGACGCTCGTGAAGGGGGGCACGTCCTCATAGACGCTGCCCTGGTAGGAGTCCCGGAGGAACTGGGGGGCGTTGTCATTGACATCGTTCACCAGGATCTCCAGGTAGGTGGTATCGGACTTTTGGGGGATGCCGTTGTCACGGGCCGTGATGGCCAGCGTGTAGGACACCTGGTCCTCGTAGTCCAGCTCGGCCTGGGTGGTGACGGCCCCTGTGTCCGCGTCGATGCGGAACTGGGGGATGCTGTCCTCCATGAAGTAGGTGATGCGGGCGTTCTCGCCGGTGTCCTCGTCCGTCGCGCTGATCAGTACCACCGTGGTACCGGCGGGCCGGTCCTCATTGACGTTCACCGTGTAGTGGGAGCTCTGAAAGACGGGGCGGTGCGTGTTGGCGTCAGTGACGTTGACCACGACCTGCGCTGTGTCCTGGCGCGTGCCATCGGAGGCAGTGACCGCCAGCACATACTGGCGCTCAAGCTTGTAGTCCAGCGGCAAGGCGAGAGACACCAGCCCCCCGCCGCTCTGGCTAGTGATGGAGAAGCGGTTGCGGGTGTTGCCGCTGGTGATCTGGTAGGTGATGACGCTGTGGGCGTCCCGGTCCACGGCGGACACCGTCACCACGCTGGTGCCCACCGCCGCATCCTCGTTGAGCCGCACCGTGTACTCCGGCTGGGTGAAGGTGGGGTTGTTGTCATTGACGTCCAGGACGGTCACGCTGACGCTGGCTGAGGCGGTGAGCGCAGGGCTGCCGTGGTCCCGAGCTTCGACCCCAAAGCTGTAGAAATCGACCTCCTCCCGGTCCAGCTCGGCAGCCACCGAGATCCAGCCCGTGCCATTGTTGATGGCGAAGGGGAAGTCGTGCCCGGCCCCAGCGAGGCGGTATTCCAGGCGGGCATTGTCGCCAGCATCGGCATCGATGGCCTGAACGTGGAGGACCAGGTAGCCCAAAGGGACACTCTCTAGGACAGTGGCCTGGAACGGGGTGCTGACGAAGATGGGGGCATTGTCATTAATATCCAGGACCTGCACTGTCACCAGGCCAGAGACGTTGGAGAGGGGGGGGCGGCCGCCATCCTGTGCCCGCACACGTAGGGTGTACTCCTTGGTCGTCTCATAGTCCAGGGGGCTCACCACATCCAGAGCCCCCGTCTGGGCGTCCAGGTAGAACTGGCCCCGGGCGTTGCCGCTCATGATGCTGTAGTGCACCAGGGCGTTACTGCCCTTGTCCCGATCGGAGGCCGTGACCCGGAGTACTGGGGCCCCTGGGGCCACATCTTCCCGCACTTGGACCACGTAGCGCTTCTCGCTGAACTGGGGGGCATTGTCATTGTCATCCTCCACAGAGAGGAAAACAGCGGCTGTGGTGCTCCGGGGACCTGGGTCTCGACCCTGGTCGCTCGCCTCCACTGTCAACTGATAGGACTCCACCTCTTCCCGGTCCACAGGGCCGCGGGTTCGGATCACCCCAGAGCGAGGGTCAATTTCAAAGACTTCCGAGGGACTGCCTCCGGGACCCTCCAGCAGGCGGTACAGGATGTTGGCATTAGGTGGGGCATCGCCATCGGTGGCCCTGACGGTGAGCACCTCATAGCCCACCTCCAGGTTTTCCCTGAGGCTCTCCTTGTACTCCAGCTGCTCAAAGACAGGGTCGTGGTCGTTGGTGTCTGTCACCAAGATGGTAAGTGTGGCCAGGGCACTGCGGCGGGGCATTCCGTGATCCTGGGCCGTGACCCTGAAGACGTGGGTACTCTTGGTCTCTCGGTCCAGCTCCTCAGCGGTGGTCACAGCACCAGTGATGGGGTCCAGCGAGAAGAAGTGGTTGGAACGGCTGTCAAAGAGGGCATCCATGGTGTACTCTAGCCGGCCGGCCTCGCCCTCATCCGGGTCGATGGCTCGCAGGGAGGCCACAGGGGTACCTGCTGGCTGGTTCTCTGGCACTGTGGCCTGGTAGCTGGGAGGCTGGAACTGGGGTGCTGTATTCACATTCCTTTTTCGACGTCCGCCCATAGACTCTCCAGCTGACTCTTCCCCTGTCCCTTGCCCTGGGGGCTGTGCCAGCCTGCAGGACTGGCATCTCAGCCGTGGGGCCTTTAGGCATGGATGCTCATGGGGCAGGGTGAGCTTTCCCTGTGGAGAGAGGTGGCCTCCAATGCCCAGGAGGCGGCAGCTCCAGGGGCAGCCTTCGGGGGCTGGTGGCAACGGAATGTGGGCCCCAGTTTCTGGACACCAGACCCTCAGGCCATCGTGGTGGGGCACCAAGTGGCCGGTCAGCTCGGTTCCCGAAGCTTTGCAGTGGCTGGTGTACAACCAGAGGTTCGAGGAGGAGGCTGGACAGAGCCAACCTACGGGGTCGCAGGCCGCAGACGAGCCTCTTCCCCCGGGCCCCAGGGAGCGACAGGGCCCCACTTGATCTCCCAGTAGCAGCGGTGGCGGCAGCAGCAGCAGCAATATAAGCGGCAGCGACGTTGGGAAGGAGACGCGAGCGGCCCGG